CTGCTGTCTTAACCTCCTTACTCCTGCTGTCTTAGCACTCCTTACTCCTGCTGTCTTAACACTCCTTACTCCCTGCTGTCTTAACACTCCTTACTCCTGCTGTCTTAACACTCCTTACTCCTGCTGTCTTAACACTCCTTACTCCTGCTGTCTTAACACTCCTTACTCCTGCTGTCTTAACACTCCTTACTCCTGCTGTCTTAACACTCCAACTCACAAAATATGTTACATAAATATTCTTTAATTTCTTATCGTAAATATGAACACTAAGTATATAATGTACAGTGCAGATGTACAACTGTACAGATTGTCCAGGTATACAATGTACAGTACAATACAGTAGAGTAGAGTAGAGTAGAGTAGAGTAGAGTACAGTAGAGTAGAGTAGAGTACAGTACAGTACAGTAGAGTAGAGTAGAGTACAGTACAGTACAGGTATTTAAACGAAGTATACAGATTAACAAAGAGACAAAAACTGCAAATGTGTATAAAAAAAAAAAAAGAGTTCATCCGTAATATTTTTCTGATAAATTTTTATTATTTCAGAAATAGTATAAAGTCTGTGAAGGGATTTTAGCTCACTGATTTAAATAAAAGGTAAATAAAAAAAATCCGTTTTAAGAAGTTTTTCATTTTATTATTATTATTATTTTTTTTTTTTATGTAAACCTTTCTATCGCAGACACTAGAGTGATACATCAGTTATTATGTTGGTACAAACTGTCACAGTGTCTATATGTGAGAGGGTAACAGAGACAACTAACATTCAGTCGAGACAAGTGAGTGCGGAAGTCCTCTAGGTGAGCGCCACTCTTGCTACCCTCCCCAGGTAAGGTAACGCCAGCAACCCACAAGTCATAGGATGCTTGGTCGGTTGTGCGGGGCTGACGGCAATGAGTTCTGGGGGGCTGACAGTGTTGGGTTCTGGGGGCTGACAGTGTTGGAGTTCTGGGGCTGACGGCGATGGGTTCTGGGGGCTGATGAAATGGTGGACACTAGACACCTCTTTCACGGAGCCCAGGCCCACCTCTCAGCTGGTTGGTACGTTAACCAATTCAGTATTTTATATAAGTTTTGGGTGGTAGAGTTCCACAGAGATATATTCCTTTAATTAATAGTATTGATATTGTTGTTTATTACAATGGTAAGGTTGGAACGTGGGGGTCTGACGGTGTTGGCTTCCGGGCTGCTGACGTGGATGTCTTCTGGGCTGCTGACGGCGATGGCTTCTGGGCTGCTGATGGCGATGGGTTCTGAGCTGCTGACGGGGATGAAGTTATGGGCTGCTGACGGGGATGGCTTCTGGCTGCTGACGGGATGGGTTCTGGCTGCTGACGGGGATGGGTCCTGGGCTGCTGACGGGATGGCTTCTGGGCTGCTGACGGGATGGCTTCTGGGCTGCTGACGGGATGGCTTCTGGCTGCTGACGGGATGGGTTCTGCTGACGGGGATCTGACGGGATGGGGGGGGTTCTGGGCTGACGGGATGGGTTCTGGACTGCTGACGGGATGGGAGCTGGATTCTGGAGCTGCTGACGGGGATGGGGCTGCTGACGGGGATGGGCTGACGGGATGGGTTCTGGGCTGTTGACAGGATGGCTTCTGGGCTGCTGACGGGATGGTTCTGGGCTGCTGACGGGGATGGGTTCTGGGTGCTGACGGGATGGCTTCTGGGCTGCTGACGGGGATGGCTTCTGGGCTGCTGATGGGGATGGGTTCTGGGGCTGCTGGCTGACGGGATGGGTTCTGACGGGCTGGGCTGACGGGATGGGTTCTGGACTGCTGACGGGGATGGGTTCTGATGGTTCTGGCTGATGGGGATGGGTTCTGGGCTGCTGACGGGGATGGGTTCTGGGCTGCTGATGGCGATGGCTTCTGGGCTGATGGCGATGGGTTCTGGGCTGCTGACAGGGTTCTGGGCTGCTGAGGGATGGCTTGAGCTGCTGACGGGGATGGCTTCTGGGCTGCTGACGTGGATGGCTTCTGGGCTGCTGACGGCGATGGCTTCTGGGCTGCTGATGGCGATGGGTTCTGGGCTGCTGACGGGGATGAGTTATGGGCTGCTGACTGACGGGATGGCTTCTGGCTGCTGGGTTCTGGGCTGCTGACGGGATGGGTTCTGGGCTGCTGACGGGGATGGGTTCGACGGATGGGTTCTGGGCTCTGACGGGGATTCTGCTGACAGGGGATGGGTTCTGGGCTGCTCACGGGGATGGACTGACAGGGATGGGTTCTGGGCTGCTGACGGGGATGGGTTCTGGGCTGCTCACGGGGATGGATTCTGGGCTGCTGACGGGGATGGCTTCTGGGCTGCTGACGTCTTGACTACTGCTGCTCTGGACCTCCACATAACTACGTACGCTGGGTTACTGTCTGGCCCAAGCCACCCGCTAGGCTTTGTTAGTTTATTCTTTGTTGTAAGAATTCCAGTTCATTATTTAGAACATTTTAGATGTTCGAAGCACATAGCGCTAAGTTATTTGCCTTGCTTGTTGTTTTAT